GATGAATAGAAAAAGCTTCTCTGAAAAATCAGATGAAATTAAACAACATGTCTACGACCAGGGCCCAAAATTGGTTTAGGCCTACCCTTACGAATCAGGGTACTAGCCCCTCCTTAACCAGACCCCTAGGGTAAAAATTTTCATACCCTGTTTTCAGCAGGGTAAATCTACCACTAGCCTGATTTGAGCAGCGTAGTTTTAGGCTAAGCCTGTTTTTGTATCTATATTGTGAGTTAACTTATTTTTAATGACATACACAAGTAGCACATTCAGAGTCCATGAAGTCTACACACGCAACACATGCACTAAACACCTACTCAGTGCCACCCCCACTGCCTACATCTTCTTCTACAAACTGGGTCTGCGAATCCCGGGTGGGGTCAAACTCCTTGGTGGATCACTCCAGCTTCTCTCCACGAAAGATGGCGACCACCTCAAACCAGTCGACCTCGTACCGCAGCAGGGAACAACGCATCAGATGCTCCAGGCTTGTGTCGCCTAGGCTGCCGCGTCCCCAAGTCTTGATCAGATTCTGCTTTGAGAAGCCGCGCTTGCATTCAACCGTGCTCAGTGGCAGCACGGCGACTGATTGCCACATCCGCATGATGTTGGGGAAGGAGACACGCCATGCATCATCCCGCAGCATGTTCGTCAGCACCTGGTGAAACTCTTCGTTGTTGTGCTGGGAGAACATTGTGGATGTAAACATCCACAGTCTTGCTGGGCTCTCTTGTAGTCAAACCCTGTGGTGGGGCGGGGTTGGGGTGAAAGCTTGGCCGATGCTCGCAGACACGGGTAGGAATGGGGGCATTAGTCCAACAAGCATCGGACAGGTTTGCACGGGTTAACCTCAATGCATAATTAGTTGAGACATCTCACGTCAGAAGTTTTGCTATCGCTGCACAAGGCTTACCTGGCAACTTGTTGTGGTACAACTTGTGCAGCTGGCCGAGCCACTTCTTAAAAGTTTCCACGCGCTTCGTGTCATCGGGCACGTACGAAGCTGTGCGAAACAGCTTCGTACCTTCCAGCAGCTGCAGGTCGCGAATCCGCCACTCCAGCTCTTTGTCAATGGCGCGCACGTACTTGATCGACAGCTCGACGCACGCCGTGACATCGCCATCCGTTTCATGCCCTGGCAACGGGCGCTCGTGCAGCATGAATTGAAACGTGACGGGATTCCCCTCCCCGTCCACGCCCTCCGCCTTCATCTCGCGCTTATCCTTCGCCTGGTGCCTCTGAATGAACTCGGGAAGCTGCATTTTCTCCCCGCTGCCGAAATGGTGTGAAGGGTCACGGAGGGAATACCGCGTCTTCAGACGCATCCTTGTCTGCTGCACGATGTGTGCAACAAGGGTAACATCCACCTGCACCAGGGCATGAGAAGGAGTCAGGTGTCAGAATCCCAGCCACTAACCACTGGGATAAAAGGGCTTGTTTACGTAGCGGGTGAGTGCGCCCATAACCCCCCAGGCCGCCATGCCTGTAACCCTTCACTAGGATCAATCGGGGATCACCAGTGGACCTCTGACACCCCCCCGCACTGGGATGCCCGAAGTGCACACACCGGGATTCGAACCCAAGACCTTCGCTCTGACAACATGTCAGAATCCCAGCCACTAACCACTGGGATAAAAGGGCTTGTTTACGTAGCGGGTGAGTGCGCCCATAACCCCCCAGGCCGCCATGCATGTAACCCTTCCCTATGATCAATCGGGGATCACCAGTGGACCTCTGACATCAGGTAGTGCACGAGAAGGCTTGCAACCACATAAACGACAGCGACAAAGGCGCTTACCTGCCGCTGCTGGAAGCGCTGGTTGAGGCAGTTTAGTTCCCACAGCACATCCGCAAGAAAGCGGAGGAGCCAGTGGAACTTGAACGAGGTAACCACCTCGTACAGTTCCGCCTTGTAATCCTTCAGCACCACTATGGCAGCAGGGAGCACGTCGAGCAGGCGCTGGATCGCTTCACCACGGGCGAGCCAGCGGGTATCGCTAATCCCCTGCGCCTCTAGATTCGTCTGGCAGAATATCCGCTGCATCTCTTGAAACTTCTGGTAGTCCACGCAGCTGCGGCCACTCTGGTCAGCGAAGGCGCGCACGACATCGTCAATCATTAGCAGCTCAGGTACCTCTTCAGCAGCATCACTAGCAGTGAGTGCCTCCCTGTACATAACGGCACGCAGACAGAGGGTAAGTCCATGGAATCTCATGTAGTAAATGCAGCACGGAACAGCAAAACGGTGACGCATACCGGTGAGCGATACCATGTGTTGAGGCGAGATGCGGAATGCGCATTCGCAGCCGTGTCACAACTCCGTGGTTCTTGCCGACCATCACGCTGGCACCATCAGAGGCGACGCTGGAGATCTTCTTGAGGTCGACACCGATACCTGTGAGATACTGCACGACAGCCGACGTGAGTGAGGCACCGTCACAACAGTCAACAGTAATAAGAGTTAAGAACTCTGTAACCACCGTGGTGCGCTGGAAGAACGTGGCGTAAAGAATGAGGTGCTTCCCATGCACCCGGTCCGTGCTCTCGTCGAGGGAGATCCCTATCCATGGGGATTCAAGCAGGTGCAGACGTTGTGTTTCTTGAAGGTATGTTGAGAGTGCGCGCAGGTTTTCCTTGAATCCGTAACTGCCAGGGGGAAACACAGGTTGTCAAATCACAGAGTGCATAATACTGAGTACACCAGTTTCACATACACTTGCCACCACTTACTCTGTGTAGTACGCGCCGTAGCCGCCACCGGGAGGAAGGTCTGGTAACCCCTCCTTCGCCAGAAACCAGCACAGCGGGACGAACATCGCTATGGGTGCGTCGGCCTTGCAGACAAAGAGCGCGATGTGGAGGAGCCGAATGATGTGACGGGTGGAAGCGTCCGTGGCCTGCCACCGAGTGAGTGTGGCCTGCTTCGCCTTCTCCGCCTCCGCCTTCTCCTGATTCTCCACTGCGTTCTTGTGTGCACGGGTCGCGGAGTGAGTGCGGATGCTGCCAATCTGGAGATCCCGCGCACCCTCACCCTTCGCCCCATGCGCGGTGTGCGCTAGTGGATCTCCGTGCTTCACACAAATGGTACACTTCAAAGACGGACGACCGTTAGACATGCGGAGTAAACGCAACCATTTGAAACTACCTGCCCACTGACCGTCAAACGTCTTCTTCACCGACTCGTACTCAGCATCTGCCAGAGCGGTGGGTGGCTTCGGATCGGCCGAAGGAGCATGGCGCTTGTTTGAAGTAGCGTCTCGGGGAGGAGGGGCGCCCCAGAGCGTCTGCTGCTTGTATGTAGTTCCTGGGCGCGGTCGTTTGACGGGCGCGGTGCTGACAGTCGAAGGCGAAGCAGTAGGCGGCTTTGACGAGCCCTCGCCACCTCCGGGAACTAAATCTATGTCAGGATGTGGCTCCCACGCCGTGGGTGAGTCTGGTGGCTCGAACGGATAGACCGTTCCTACCACACATTCTGGTGACGGCTCACGAGGCGGCGGCTGTGCGATGGGCACGGCGTAGTTCTCGCTAAGGCGTGGTAAGACGCCCAGAACGGAGAGGTCGTTTCTCGCGCCATCAGGTGGATCGGGCTCTCCAGTGGGCATTGTGGAGTTGAACCGTGAGAAGGGTTGAGAATGAGGGCCAAGCGAGAGACCCCCTCGTAGAGAACGACCCTCTGGCAGCCTCGAAAGGGCCGTTTCTTCCACGGGGCGAGCTCTGTTATGGCCAGCAAGGACTGAGGCTGCAACTTGTTGTTAAGGACAGCTTGAAGCTGTCCTTGACAGCCAATTCTGCTGTGATGGCGGTGGGCGTGGCGACAACTGACGTGGTTCAATAATGTGTTGGCAGTCATGCGCCAGAAACAACCAATGAGGTTTCCATGCGCGTGGTCACAAGCGACAACGGGTGTTTGTGGGGGTGTTGTACGATTTGTCACCACTCGAACTATGGTCTGATTCGCGTTAAAAAATATTCGGTAACAGGGTAGTGTACACCAAACCCTGATTCCGTCAGGGTAACCTAAAAACCTATCAGGGTGAAATAAAACATGCTCTTTTAAAGCAGCAGTATACATTTGAAAGCACTGTTTGTTTTGTGAACTGTGCCAAGAAGGATTCGCCTCAACGAAACAAAAAACAGACTGGCGAGAGTGTTGGCGAAAAACTGAGGCGGGACTGTTGTTAGGGAACAAGGGTTGGGTCAGTCACACACGAACTCACCTGCCTCGCTGGCACACTTAGGAGAAGTGATAGAAGTACCAAACGAGTGGGCTAGTGGTTGCTAGATGTGGAGCGCGACCACACACATAGTCGCGGGTGAGTAATTAGCCATGTGCAGAGCAGGCGACGGCTAAAGCGACCAGCAAAAACGCCCGCCATCTCGTTCACGTGCACTAATATTCCGCCGCAATGCACTCGGACGATGGCACAGAGGCATTCGCCTCAATCCGCCGTATTGCATACTTAGCGCCCGTCGAAACCTATCTAATGCGCCACTACGATGGGCATTCGACGCGCTCCCCGCAATGTCTTCGTGCATTCAGAAAATACACATTTGACGAGGGGAGGTATTTGCACTCCTCCGCCAGCCAGCTGGCCCATCGCCCTTAGTCAGGATTAGCCTGTGCAGCAGCAGTTGCGCGCTCTCCTCGAGCCTCGAACGCGCGCCTGCATTCCGCGCGAGCCAGCGCAGCGCGCGCCAGCAAAACGCGCGCAGCAGAGCGGCGCGCGCCTGCATAGCGAGTGCAGATGACGCTCGCGCGTCAGCAAACAGCACGCGGTTGCAGGCACGCGCGCTCCAGCCCTATTTCCCCCCCTGCGCCCATATTTCCCCCTATGCCAGCCCCATTTTCCCCCCCTGCCAGCCCCATTTTTCCCCCCTGCCAGCCCCATTTTCCACCCTGCTAGCCCCATACTTCCCCCCATGCTAGCCCCATGTTTCTGCCCTCTTAGCCCCATGTCACCCCCCTACTGCTGGCCCTATATTTCCCCCATGCTAGCCCCATGTTTCCCCCCATGCTAGCCCCATTTTTCCCCTCCTTTCCCCCCTGCTTCCCCCCTTTCCCCCCACGGCTTCCCCTCCTTTCCCCCCTTGCTTCCTCTCCTTCCCCCCCCAGCTTCCCCCCTTTTCCCCCACGGCTTCCCCTCCTTCTCCCCCCTGCTTCCCCTCCTTTCCCCCCATGCTTCTCCTCCCTCCCCCCCCTGCATCCCCTTCTTTCCCCCCTTGCCCTCCTTTCCCCCCCTGCTTTACCTCCTTTCCCCCCCTGCTTCTCCTCCTTTCCTGCTTCCCCTCCTTTCCCCCCCTGCTTCCCCTCCTTTCCACCCCTGCTTCCCCCCTATTCCCCCACGGCTTTCCCTCCTTCCCCCCCCTTCTTCCCCTCCTTTCCCCCCTGCATCCCCTCCTTTCCCCCCTTTGCTTGCCATCCTTTCCCCCCACTGCATCCCCTCCTTTCACTCCTTGCATCCCCTTCTTCCTCTCCCTGTTTCCCCTCTTTCCCCTCCCTGTTTCCCCTCCTTTCCCTCCTGTTTCCCCTCCTTTCCCCCCCTGCATCGCCTCCTTCCTCTCCCTGTTTCCCCTCCTCTCCCCCCCTGCATCCCCTCCTTTCCCTCCCTGCATTCTCTGATTTCCCCCTCTGCTTCCCCTCCTTTAACTCCCTGCATTGTCTCCTTTCCATCCCTGCAACTCTCCTTCACCCCGTCTCACCCAAGCAACTCCCTTTCTCCTCACTTGCCATTTCCTGCCGCTATATGCATTGGATGTGTCTGCCATGACTGTCCCCATTCACCCCACCCATCCTCCACGCTCCCCATCTCTCCCATCCCATTCCTCCCTCCCCCCATCTCTTCCTCACCCCATCTCTTCCTCGCCCCATGTCTTCTTCACCCCAACTCATCCTCACCCCATCTCTCCCTCACCCCGCCTCTCCCTCACCCCATCTCTCCCTCACCCCATCTATCCCGCCTTCTATCTATACCCCCCATGCCCCCCATTTCATCCTCTTCCCAGCAATTCCTCGGCCTCTAAGCGGTAAGCGTGTCCCGTGTGCCTGTTTTCGCCGGCTTCGTCCCCAGTCAGATTGGGCTCGTACGATGCTGGTGCAGGCAGGGGTTGATCAACGATGGCGCAGCAACAGCGCTGTCGCCTCCCTTCTCCCTTCCTAATATCCCCTCGTCACTCTCTCCCTTCTATTTCTTCCCTGTCGCGCCCTCTTTCTCTCCCTCCTATTTTCTCCCCCATATCATCTGTCCATGTGTCAGGTGGGCAAGGAGGCAGCCATCCGCACCAACACCAGCCTTTCTCCTGTTCACAGCGTGCAGCTCTATGCTCGATCCGCTCGTGCCTTCACCGTCTATTTGGGCACGCTCTGAATGTTTGTTCTGGGAACGGGTTTAGAGTCACTTGTTGCTTGTACTTACATGGACATTTCTTTGTAGACCCTCTGACCTCCTCCCCCCTTCCCGTGGTACCAGTACCAGATTATGGGGTGGGAGATGCTGAGCATGTCATCACAGCCCCCACCCCACCCTCAAAGCAATAAATGCTTCGTTTTCACTGCTCATGGTTTGCACCATAGGTATCACAACATTATTGATTGCATCATACTAATAAAATCACATAACAACAAGTGTCTCAAAGGATACAAATTCGAGTATGCGGCCTATTACATCGCCTCTCCTTATCCTCTTCTTCATCCTCCCCATCCTCAACACCAACCCTAAAACCTAGCGGCCCCTGTTGACGACGCGCACGACCCCGCAAGAACATCACTGGTGTCTGGAGGGAATCGCAGGAATGGAGGCGGGTACAGAGGAGACGAAATGAAAAGGTACTGGGAAAAGGAGTGACAAAGGGGTGGGTGGGGGGCAGTACAGAAACTGTAATCAACACGGCATAGCACATTACCGCATTGGGTTGGGAAGTGTCGACAAGGGTTGGCAATAGGCAAGAAAAGGAACGTTAGCAGTGGAAAGGCAGAATGGTTGGGGAAGGAAGAGAGGGTAGAGGGAAGGGAGAGAGGTGCATTGAGGGGCAGGAAACTGCACAGCGGGCGAAGGACAAGGCAGGTGAGTTGCAAGTGGTGAGGGGTGGGGTGGAGAGTGAATGTTATGGGAAGATGGAAAAGAGGCTGTGGTGGTGGGAAGCTCCCGTGGGGATGCATGAAGGGGAGATGAGGAGGTGGGACAAAGAGATCGGGTGGCAAGACAGAGAGGTGCTGTGAGGCAAAACCTCCTTCCCGTCAATCTGTCTCCTTTTGCAAATCCTTAGGATTTGAACATGGCGAGGAGCACTTGTGAGGGGGGTTTGGACGAGCTTGTGGGCTTGTTATTTGGTAACCATTTTCAAGTTCCTTAGGATTTTGAAAACCCAACTTTCAAAAGTATACTGTTGCTTTAAGAGAAGGGTAACTATTGAGCAATCCTGATTTCGGCAGGGTAATCCTGAAAAAGCGGCCGGCCCCCAAGGTAATCAGGGTGTTTTACCCTGATATTTTGGGCCCTGTCTACGACATCAGATGAACCAGTAATAACGTGTTCAGAATCCAGAAATTCAGACAGAAAATTTATAATAATGTAGGCCCTGATTATGACTATAACATGTACAGCTTACAAACACCACACGAGGAATTCCGAAACACTAGCTACCGTAGCATACTCAAAGCAGCATAACCGTGTCACGGGTAAATTGGCAGAACAAGGTTAGGGCATGATTGTGGTCAGAGCAGGGACCCGGAAGCAGGCCCTCCAGGCCTGTAACCCGGCATGGCACCTGGCATGCCCATGGCACCAGGCATGGCCCCTCCCATGGGCATTCCTCCCTGCGGGGCCCCAGGCATCCCCCCCACGTGCATGGGCATCTGCCCCCCCATGCCCATGCCACCCGGTCCCATGCCGCCTGGGCCCATGCCGCCCGGCCCCATGCCGCCTGGGCCCATGCCGCCCGGCCCTTTGCCGCCCGGCCCCATGCCTCCCGGCATACCCATGCCGCCGCCCATCTGTATGGGAGGAGGCATGCCTGGCCCTGCCATCCCCATGGGTCCAGCCATGCCCATCTCAGGCCCCTGCATGGGCATGCCCCCATACGGCATGGGCGCCATGCCGGCAGCAGCAGGGGGAGGAGCACCCCCCGGAAGCACCATGTGAGGGGCAGCGGGCGAGGGGGCGAGGGCAGTGGGGCCAGGAGGGGAAGAAACAGCAGCAGCAGCAGGGGCACCGGACCAGGGCAGGGCGAGCATTGCGGCTCCCCCTTGCTGCTGCTGGGCGGCCACTGGGGGCGGCTGCAGCCAGGCCGGCGGCAGCTCACTGATGTTGTCGCTGATAAATTCCTTCAGCCTGGGGCGCGGGGCAGGCCGGGGGCACGCAGGAGAGGGCAGGGGGGGGGAGGAAAGGGAAGGGGAGGGAAGGGGAGGGAAGGGAAGGGAAGGGGAGGGAAGGGGCAGGGAAGCACAGGGCAGGCATGCAGGTGAGCGTGGAGGGGTGGCAAAGGAGCCACAAATGAGGTGGCAGGCAGTGAGAACAATGGGGCGGAGAAACAGCAGGTGGGGGGATGAGCAACACGATACAGACTGCATCATTTAACCATCCTTCCCCATGCCCCACATACACCCCTCACCACCCCCAACCCCCTTTCTCCACCCCCTCCACTTCCCCTTCCCTGTCCCCTTCCCTTCCCCCCCCCCACCCCCCCCCCCTCCCCCCCCATTTGTCCCCGCCCCCCAGGGCAGGCACGCACGCAGCGGAGGCGGTGGGGTCGGAGGAGGCGCAGGTGAGGCGCAGCTGCGAGCGGTCCGCTGGGTCCGTCTCCAGACGCGCCTGGGGTGGTGAGCGGTGATGGAGGGTGGTAAGGGGTGATGGAGGGTGGTGGAATAGGGTCATTTGCTTTCACATCTGTCTGCCTCCCATCCTATTTTTCTACCCTACATGCGTGCTATGCATGTTCGAAAGACTTTAAATTTGGTACGGTTTAAAAATTGTGTGTGTGTATGAATTTGATTTAGCTTGAGCATATATATGAAATGACGTCTCCGTTCAAGAGTTTTCTGACGAGCCAAGAATGGGAATTTTCTGATCGTTCGAAATTATGATTGTGATGCGGCAACAATGGGAATTGGCAGGGAAATTCTATATGGAGCAAATAATTTTCGGGTTGGAAAACTTGTCACTCTACTGTAGTTGCAGCCAAGTGGTTGGGGGAAGCCAAACCAGAACGGCAAATGTGGCCGATTTGGATGAGGCGAATTGCATGGGTTGGAAAAAAAACAAAGATGAAAGTTGGGATCTTATAGGGAAGGGATTTGGTGTGGTCATGGTATTCTTCGTTGGGGACTATCTGGAGACCTTGACTCTCATGTTTTTCATTATCTCTTACCTAGTTTCTTGCTACTCTGATTCTTGCTTAACTGTTGTGATCAAATTAGATTAAGCTACAGCATACCCTCAGTGCACCGATAATCATATATCTCAAGCTATACTTCACTTTCTAGTACGATTCAGATTAGGAATAACACATGCTTTCTTGAAGAAGTTCGAACGGTGAACTTGTCGTCTTTGGCGTTTCTTGTAAACACGACTTTTATGTCCAGAAACTTAGTTTACGATTTTGGGTTATTTCCGCCCTCCTAAAGTGCCTAGACCCAGTCCTTGATTGTAACAGATGAGGGGTGGTGCGAGGTGATGGGGGATGGTGGGAGATGGTGGGGGTTGGGAGGTGTTAGTGAGGATGGGCTTAGAGGAGGAAAGAGAGGGAGTGGAGTGGAGAGGGGAGCCGAGGAACACCAATGAGAAGAAGGGCAAGCCGAAAAGCAGGAATGCAGGAGGGGAGGCACAGTGAGAGGCAGGAAGGCGTTGGGAGGAGAGCACGGGGGTAGCAGCTTACGAGGAGGAGGGTGGGCGGGGTGGTCTCTGTATGCAACGTGCAGCACGCCACTATGTTGTTGGGGTTTGGGTCCTGGTGCGCCCATGGGGGGAGAGGGGAGCACGGGGGCGAGAGGGACGGGGAAAGGGATGAGAAGAGGGGTGAGTGGGGGAGAGGGTGAGCGAGGATAGAGGGGGATGGGGTGGAAAATGCCAGAAATTGTGAAACGGAGGGGGGGGTGAAAGAGCAAAGGGTTGGTGGTGGAAAGCGGGAGAGGCGGCACGGCGGGTCTGACCAGGTTGGGCAGTGGGTTGATGCGCATGGATGCCAGCAGCTGTGCCAGTGCAGGCAGCGGTAGCGGCTTCACTCCTCTCAGCTGGTGGGGGGAAGGGGCAGATGTGAGGGGGCCATGGGGGGGGAGGATGCGCGAGCGAGTGGGTGAGTGTGGGAGTGACGTGAAGTCCTGTCATGGGGAGAGTGAGTGAGAGGTGAGGAGGTGAGAGGTGGCAGGTAGCGGCATGTGGACGTAACATGCGGTATGCAGCAGCAGCACAATGCAAGAAGCCATGGCATCACGCATGGCATGCATGCACATCACATCCACAGCAACATTCCCAGGAACACACCAGCACCCTCCAGCACATAGCTGCACCCCCCACCGCACAGCAGCAGCAGCACATTGGTTCTAGAGAATTTTGTAGCATGCACCACCACTTGCTGCTTGTGCGGCGGCGCAAAGGGCGTCTTTTAGCGAGCAAAGAAGTCAGCAGAGGACAGCGATGTGGGCCGCAGCGCTTTAGAGGCGACTCAAAGGGCAGCAGTACACCCCACCACCCCCCACCACCCAGCACCCAGCACCACCCCCCAGCACACAGCAGCACGCACCACGACTTGCTGTTTGTGCGGCGGAGCAGAGAGGGTCTTCCAGCGAGCAAAGAAGTCAGCAGAGGACAGCGACGCCGGCAGCAGCGCCTTGCAGAGCGCCACGGGCAGGTGCAGGCGCAGCGGCACGCGCGTGCCCGACGGCAGCGTGTACGCCATGTCCAGGCGCGGCGCCTCCCTGGGTACCAGCACTGCTGCCGCCTCCACTGGTAGCTGGATCTGTCGGGGGCGGGACAGGGGAGGGGGGGGGAAGGAATGGGGCGGAGGAGGGAGGAAGATGATGCTAGGTGAAGGGGTGGAGGGGATGAAGGCGGATTGGATGTCGGCGGAGGGGATGACGGCGGAGGTGATGACGGGGGAGGGGATGACGGCTGATGGGTTGAAGGAGGAGGGGTTGAAGGCTGAGGGGTTGAAGGCTGAGGGGTTGAAGGCTGAGGGGTTGAAGGCTGAGGGGTTGAAGGCTGAGGGGTTGAAGGCTGAGGGGTTGAAGGCTGAGGGGTTGAAGGCTGAGGGGTTGAAGGCTGAGGGGTTGGGAGATGATCTCAAGAGGGATGTTTAGCAGAAAGATGAGGCAATAGCAGAAAGAAGGATCGGCAAGAGCAGCGTGGGGGGTGGGCGAGAGCAGAGAGACGGG